AAACTTTAACGGACATCTTGACCGGGGAAATAAACTGAAACTGAAACTCTGCCGCACGGTCCCCTCGTTCCTTGGAAGAGGCGGAGAGGTGGGTGTTTGTCATCCGCTGGTGGAGTAACCGGAGAGAATTACAGTGCTTGCCTCGACGGGGAGGGATTGCATTGAATTAAAGCAGCGGGAGCAAACGCTTGCCTCGGGGAGGGAGAAAAAAAGCCACAGCGGAGAATAAACAGAAGGGTAACCATGGTAACTATGGGCAGGAAGTTTTCTTCGCTGCTTTTGTGGCAGACTACAGCGCCACTTACAGGCCTGGCATATGTACTACAGCGTCTCCAGCGCTTTCGAGCGGCAATGGCCGGCCGTGGCCCAACCCCACATTCCCCTGATAGGTGGAGAGTTGACCCAATAGCCGTAGCGCCACTTTACTGACGTCCTAGAAGTGTTCAAATCTGGATCAGTCTTTATCAGATCCGTTGCAGCCCCTTTTTTAGAGATTTGGGTATGGAGGAAAATAGAGAGGGTTGTGTTTTCTGACACTTGGTGAGTTCCCTGGAACACCGGGGACACATATTCATGTATAAAAGACGTACAAAAGTGCATTTTGCATGATAGGTCCCCTTTAACAAACGCCTGTTTGAGACTCCTCAGTGCACACAAAAACATAACTTGTAGAAATAAATAAATACGGAAATGTTATTGATCACCCCTCGATTATGTTCTCTTGTTAAGAAATGTATTCTCATAAATGATGCGGTAAACAGAAGGATAGAATTATTTTAAATTGACGCCGTTTTGCATTTCTATAGGTTGTATAGATACGAGCATGGTTTTATATACTATCATGTTTAATCATGTTTTATGCCGTTCGCCAATAGCCTACTTGATAAGTCGCTCGTAAAACACAGGAGGTATGGAAACTAAGAACACCATATGTGGTAAATTGTACAGCTAATATAACACAACACATTAGTTATATTTCCTTTAACTGCTGAATTATGGATATATAGTTGCTGTTCGAAAGCTGGAACACAAACCACCAAATACAAAAAAAATATTCAGATCCAGTCGTCATGACTCCACTCCGGAGGGATTCCCCGATCATTTCTTACAGTTTCTCATCAAGGGGGTGTCTCCTGTCCCCGGGACAAACACACTGCCTGAGGAAGGTTAGGCTATGTGTATTTTTTTTGTCATTAACCTTTTTCTGACCACTTATTTATTTATTTTGGTGACGATCCGACCTCCATGCTGCTACTCTGGTTCAAACAATATGATTTATCTCGACCTCCCCAAAATAACCAAAATCTGACACGGTGTGAGATGTCTTTTTTAGCTGTTCTGTCGTCATTTCCTGCGATCTTCTTCCTGCAGTCAGTCAAAATGAATGAATGAATGGGCGTTTCTTTGACTATTTATAGGCAAATATGGGCGTTACGTGAAGCCCGCAAAAGCTGCGCCGCATTTCGAGTTGATTATGATTTATAAAGGGAAACCCGTGTAGGATGTGCCGTACGCAAGTCCTGCGCCGGTACGCAGTCTTTTATGAATCGGAAAATGTCTGTGCGTATTTATTTGCTTTGTCCTACGTAAGCAACCTTCCCATGTCAATCCTACGCAAGGCTTTATAAATGAGGCCCCAGGCCCTGTTTCTTCCTCCCCTTATGTGTTTTTCCCGCCTTCATCAGTGTCTGCCCCGCCCCTGATTGTTTCCACCTGTTCCCACTCACCTCATGTTTAAATAGTCCTGTCTCTCCCCTGTCCTGTGTCAGTTCGTCTTGTTTGTTTCTCCGAATGGTCGTGCCAAGCCTCAGCTCAGAAAGGATCGCTTTCACTCATGTCAGGTTTTGTTTCTTTTGTTAATTTTGTTGGCTTAAGTTTTTCTTAAGTTCTCTTTTTGTTATGCTAGTTTTTTCCTCCTTGTGAGCGCCTTTTGTTATTTCCAGTACCTACTCTGTTAAGAGGGATTACCTGATCTGTGAAATTAAAATTACATTTTTTTACATTCAAGACTTTGTCTCTGGGTCGTGCATTTGGGTTCATCAGTTTGGGTTGAGATCCTGACACCATGTTCCTCTTTACAACTGCAATGATTATTTGAAAACAAGCGAGTAATACGCCTCTCATGTAGTTTTCTTCTCATCTGAGAGTTGTACATGCACAGTACTGATAAGGCACTGATAGCTTATAAATAAAACAATTTGTAAAGGGGCAACTAAGAAGGGACTTTGGAAAAGTAGATTTCTTACGCTCTGTTGAACTCTGAATGTTAGACTTTAGGATAGGCCTAGGATGTATTAGGATTATTTAATTTAGGCGGGAGTTTATAAACCAAAGAGTAACCGCCCTTACGGGACGCTCTAATAAATAAAGCGAACGCACCCGCAAGGACACCTGGCCTCCTATTGGTTGAGGGATTTTGACAGGGTTGTTGCACAAAAAATCCAAGCGCACAGCAGAAATCTGAGAGCAGACATTTGACGAGCGCACAGAAACAGCCTGAGTGCGAGGAGAAGGTTTTAAGCTGGAACACGGGAAATCTGTGCAGGCAGCAATATATCAGAGTGCAAGCGTACAGTTTGAGCAGAAGCAGAGCAAATCTAAGCACAAGCAGGCACTATTTGAGTGCGAGGACAGGGTTTGAGGGAAAGAAATACATAATCTGAACGTGAAATCAATAAATTATGCTCTCAAATTTAAAGACCACGCTCTTGAATAAAGATAGGGAATAACCCCCATACTGTAGAAATCAAAATCCTTTATTTGCGGAACTAGGCCAGGCAAACAAAGTAAAACAAGGCAAGGCAAACCATAAACTCGCTCAGAACAAGACTCTCACAAAGACTGAAAGAGAAACCAGAACTTAAATGTACACAAGACTAATCACAAGAACAAGACACAGGTGGGGAGGGAAGAGTCACCAGGGTTGCAGTGGAATTGTCCAAAAATCAGCTCCTCTTGTCTTTTCCTATCCACTATTCCTTGACCTCTGTGTAAAACGTTAAGGAATAGTGGATAGGAGAATTCAAAAGGACTTAGGAAAAGAGACTGCGGTGTTTTGAGAATCAGACTGCACTTACACTATCTAACGTATTTATGATGTGCGTCTGCTGTGGGGAGACTACAGTTTTGTATACAACAGACTACATGGATGTATAATAAGAATGGCGGACTACAATAAGCACATCTAGACACTTTGCACCAAGCTCTGATGCTGTTGTTTTATGTTTTATGAACGTGGACAAAAGAGAGACATCTATTCTTAATTAGGTTGGAATTTAAATAAAAAAGTAAAGTGATATTTATGCTTGTCACCCTCCGGTCCACACGTATTAATCTGACATAAGTTGCTGAATAAGCACCGTAACTTTGATGATACTAATTCCTCAGTCACGATCGGTTGTTTCCGTGAACGGCCGAATGTTGTGTCACGGTAAATGTTGCGGCCGCAAGGTATTGTGGGACAGCATTTTCTCCTTTCCTTTCGTAAAGGAAGGTCCAGTGTTTCCTAAGCTAAAGGAGGTTATAAAATAAATTTCAAACCTCCTTTCCTATCATCTAGAGAATTCCAACGGCTCTTATCATGGCTGCCACTGAGGGACTTTCGGGTCATATCTCTCTTTTAGGAACCTTCCTAAAATAAACTGAAAATTCGGGAATCCCGTAATCAAACAGGAGGGAACACAGAGACAGGAAAAATAAGATGTTCTTCTCCCTGCTCCTATCCACCATGTGCTATATAACACAGGGGTGAACACTTTTCAAAATTAAACAGGAAACCAAAGACAGATCTTGACAGGACAAAAATAAAACAGGGAAAACTAATACGGATCATAACACTGTTAAGCTTGATGATTGACTGTTAGAAGGATCTATTTTACATATCTACTTGGCTGTCAACTTTACCATGTTTTACTTTTGTTCAATGTCAGTTTAATGTTGGACTACAGTGTAAAACAATATTGTGAATAGTCTCTTTGTGTAGTGTGTTTAACTAGCGGTTTGTAGCAGAACTATGTATGCCAAAAAAGCCCAGACGACCAGTACAAATATAACATTCATTGCAGTTAATTTACTGATTCACTGAAACATTATTTGAAGATAGCATTACATTTTGTGAAGGGTGTATATTGACACAAGTCCGTATCAAACACAATCTCAGGGACTCGTACATGATTTGTAGCGTTTCGAGAGGATCAGAGTGAGATCAAAAACATAATTCTCTTTTGAATATAGCAATTACAATTTGTATATTATGAAAGCCAGGGCTTTGTTTGTTTGTCCACTAATACCCCAAAAATGGACATAACAGAAGTATTGGACACAAATCCATGTTAATCTCAAAATGAGCAGTTGCAACATCCTACTTATTTTGAAAGAGCGTCTCACATATATTGCTAAAAAACGTCTACCTCAAACAACTGTATTTATTCATTTTCATTGTGAAAAACAACATTTTTCAATGCCACCATGGCAAAAACTTTGAAATACAGCGTCCCCTGGAGCATCGATTGTGAGGCTGATTATTGAATATCACAAAGAGTGAAGTGTGTGTGTGCTGTGTATGGTTGAATGAAAGAAAAAGCAGACATCTATTGTAGATGAGACCACAGAATAGAAAAACAGTCAAGTTAACAATTTGCCACCCTAAAGTCAGCATCAGCATGACCACAGTCTGGAAGCAGGTGTAATTATGCAATATTTACATGAGTAGCCATAGAATTTAACAATATTGAATTAGGTCTAGTTTCAGAGACAAAAACAGTAGCATAGCTGTGTGGAATAAAATAAACACAAAAAGAGAAATCTTGTATGGCATTATCGTAAACGTTTATGATTGATAATTAAATAATACTTGTGCAGTGTTGGACTTAATTGTAGCAACGTTTCCATTCCTCCAGTAGTTCACAACGTGTTGCCTGCTGTTGGGTATATTGTATCCGATATGACAAATGTCTTCACCAATGGCATCACTGAATATATTTTGTGTGTTTATGTTGCAGCGATGGAGGAGCTGGTGTGTGAGCTCCGTCTGTTCCTGGACCTGTTGGACAGGGAGTATCTGAGCGCGGGGGTCCGAGAGAAGAAGCTGCACCTCTCAAACATTCTGCACAGAGTCCTCTCAGAAAAAGGTGAGATAACAATAAAACTATTCAGAAACATTGTGGAGATACCTGGGGCTTCCATGATTACATATCTGACATGACCTGCATGCCTTCATGTTGATACTTTCAGAACTGTCACATGCAGAGAGGGTGAAGGCATTCTGAGAGATGGGATCTCAATAATGATACAAAATCTAAACAGGAAAAGTTGCAGCCCAGATTACAATAGAACAAGTAAAGAATATTGGGAATGACAGAACATTTGTGAAAATGTGAAGTTTGAATGTGCATTTAATTTGTTTTGCAAATGTGCTATTGCAGTGTTTCAAATGTTCATTTTTATATTTTTGGGGGGCCTGGAAATTGGGAATCATGATGGTTAAGCTGGCCATAGTAAAGAAATTGAAATAGAACAACAGAATAATGAGGTTAAAAGACACCGAGAGCTGGAGGAAAGTGAAATCAGCAGAGGAAGAAAGACAGGAAGTAACGACCAATGGGAACTCGGTATGGGGAGCATCATACTGTATGGCACTTTCTTAAAATGACCGCTGTGGCCATGGCCGCATCTACAACCATTTCCCAGTAGAACAGACTTTTTTCCAAGCAGAAGCAAAACAATCATTTATAAATCCAAAAAAATCACATTTAAATGAATATGTTTTGTCAAATTATTTATTTATCAAGTATCAGTAAAATAAGCGGGAGCCTTTCAGGGGATTCAACACGCGTTTGCTTCGCCAGACCAGCAAACCCATGTAATGTTCAGAGTTACACCTCCTCAAGCCCACTTTATAGTAAAGAACTTTCTCTCATGTCCTGATGCTTGGTCCTCCTTCACAGAGCCTTCCTTCAAGTCAGAGATCAGCAGTGGTCTGCCGGCACCGCCTCAGATGCCCCTCCCTGAGATCCCTCACCCCTGGCTGGTAAGACCTTATCTTGACACCATGACCTTTGACCTTAAACACGCTTCTACAATATCAAAAAAACTTGGTACTTGGCAGCATTTAGCCCTACTGGCAACATCATGATGCTTCAGGTTCAGTTCCAACGTTTTGGAGGATGGAACCACAGTCAATTGTGTTCCACAAATGTTATCATAAGAAAGATACACATGCATCTGTCAACGTATGTACCGATCCAACACTTCGAATTCAAATAATATAGTTATTGCAATCATTGACATGTACGATTTAACATGAGCTTGTAACTGCAACACACTTTTAAACAGATCAGTAATAATGACGTGTTTTCGCACGTCAGCATCTAACCAATTCACTTGTGTGTTAGAACACACATCAAAGCCTTCTTCACCAGACAATAAGGACTGTAACTAGGGCTGCCCTCGACTAACGATTTTTCTAGTCGACCAATAGTCGTCAATTTAGCTGATTAGTCGACTAATCGTCACATGTTTATGACATATTATTTATGATTATTAACATTATGATTTATTTATTTTTCGAGGCGTCCGCCTGTCAGCAAATAATAATACCTTTATGTGTGTCAAAACAAGCAGCAAGGACACAGACTGAACATTTGGATGATTTATTTTCTCATCGTGGCTAGGCTAAGCTAGGCAAGTACTTACATGCTTAAAGGTGGGGTAGGTAATTTTGGAGAAACCAGCTCGAGTGCGCTAGAATTTGAAAATACACAGCCGGAAAAAATCTGCCACTTCCTTACAGAGCCCCTCCTCCAACACACACGAACGCGCACATGACCAATGAGGGCACGAGATAAGTTTGTGCACAGATGGAAGGCTGACAGGCAGGTAGGCCATCCAGTTATTTTAGCCGGGCCAGCTAAAATGATTGGTCGTGCTTTTTACAGTATTACGGCTTCCACAGATGACATTTTTTTATGGATTTTTTGTCAAAGCACTTCAGATATTCATTGCTATCGGGATGTTAAGAGCATTCCATGGAATATAACAAAAAGTGTATCTCGAGCCGGTTTCTCAAACTTACCTACCCTACCTTTAAGGTGATACGTCATATTTGAAGTCGACGAATAATAGGCAAACTTTTGTCTGCAGAGTTTGCAAACAACTTTCCTGGGTTCATCCTTGTCGTGCTCAAAGTGCTCCCACACTATTTATTTCCTGCCTGATATAATTTGTGCAATAACAAGTTGGCACAGCTCCGTCTGATTCAACACAGGGAACGCAGCAGTCACATGTTTTTTTTGTATATCATTTTTTTGTCGACTATTAGGGGGCAGCCCTAACTGTAACATCTCTACCTCTGCAGTTAAGGAATACCAGTGTGTGTGTGTGTGTGTGTGTGTGTGTGTGTGTGTGTGTGTGTGTGTGTGTGTGTGTGTGTGTGTGTGTGTGTGTGTGTGTGTGTGTGTGTGTGTGTGTGTGTGTGTGTGTGTGTGTGTGTGTGTGTGTGTGTGTGTGTGTGTGTGTGTGTGTGTGTGTGTGTGTGTGTGTGTGTGTGTGTGTGTGTGTGTGTGTGTGTGTGTGTGTGTGTGTGTGTGTTCACCATAACATTGCACCACAACACCTTGTTCGATACCCCCCTCCCTACACACACACACACACACACACACACACACACACACACACACACACACACACACACACACACACACACACACACACACAAGTAAAAAGTTTAAATTAAGACCACAGAAACATGAATACATGAGGCATACATTTAAGGTCAACATGAAAACAAAACACAGACCACGTGGAGTCCTGAAAGGAAACAACATAATAACAGGACACATCACACACATTTCAAATAGAAATAAAAGCCAATGTAAAAAGATGGGTCTTCAGTAGTTTTTTAAAAGCTTCTACAGAGACTGTCTATAGGCAGAGAGTTCCACATGTATGGAGCACTACTTGAAAGGCACGGTCACCTTTAGTTTTTAGACGAGACCTCGGGACAGCTAGTAGGGCTTGGTCTGAAGACCTAAGTGACCTACTGGCTGGAGAAGGTCACCTATATATTCCGGTGCATTTCCACGCAGGGCTCTATATGTAATAACCAGAACCTTAAAATCAATTCTAAAACGCGTTGGGAGCCAATGTAAGAATTTTAAAATGGGTGTAATGTGTGGTCATCCTGCTGGACCTGGTTAACAGTCTTGCAGCAGCATTCTGGACCATTTGTAGGCGGTTGAGAGATGACTTGCTGAGACACGTGAAAATGGAGTTACAATAATCCAGCCGTGATGATATAAAAGCATGAATGATCATTTCAAGCTCCGCTAATGACACAACAGACCTGAGCTTTGCAATATTTCTGAGATGGAAAAGCATGTACGGGTCAGTGATTGAACATGCTGATCAAAATGCATTGCCTGATCAGATGTCACACCAAGTTTTTGTAGATTGGACCGAACAGCTGAGGAAAGGGACCCTATACTCTTTGCAACTTTCGGAGCTATACTGTCTGACGCAATGATGAGAACCTCTGTTTTGTCTGCATTAAGCTGCAAGATGTTGTTAGACATCCAGTCCTTAACCTGTTAAGCTCTGAGCCTGTTTTTCAGGTCTCAGGCTCGAAAATGCCATTCCCAGAACAAATGACCATATCTTCCCTTCTAAAAGGGTTAAATTAATAATCTTTTTTCTCAAAGTAATGATAAACCTGTGAGTTGGATGTAGAAAAGTCAGAATCAATATAGATGTTTTTTATTTTAAAGAAAATTCAGATTTTACATAGTAAAAAACTGTAAATTATAGTGTCCGTCCAAAAATTATTTTTTACTTATAGTGAAAACTACCCTTGGATGATGGGCTAGTAGACTAAAAGCTTTAGGAATCCAAAGTACAACATATAATAAGTACCCTGTATCAAGATTGATGCAAAACAAGTGACATTTGACCTTTTTAAAGAGGTTTAGCCAAAACCACTCCAACTCTGAGGTGATTTGGGTGTGAAAATGTTTTTTTTTCCATATCTCTGGCCCCCCTTGGTCGATTTTGATGGTTGACACCTCTTTCTGACCGTTAGAGCCAATAGAATCGAAGGGGGAGTCCCCCACACACACGTTGTGAAAACAAACGGTGGGGGCTTCGCGCATGCAGGTTTGCACCAGAGTGAAGCGATCTCTCGCTCTGACATCTGGAAACGAAAAAGCAGTTTTATTGCTTATGGATTATCAGAAATCATTTCAAAGAGGACACAGACACATTGGATTAACCTATGGATTAACTGCAGCATCGTTTTTTATCGTTTTAATGCCATTGAAGACCAGTTTTGACCAAGGTAAGCCATGTTAGCGTTTGTAGCTACCTAGCGCCACATGTTTTGATGTACGTTTTCGTTTATAGCGTCGCAAATGTTTATCACTGAGTGTTGAGGTGGGCACCCCCAGATTCTGTGTCTCCAGGCGATGCTAATCGATGGGTTGGCTGTGCATCTAGGATAAGTAATAAGGGAGTTATCAGTGAGTTTAGGTGCAGTGATAGGTTACATTTTTTCGCTCGTGGATAATTCAGAGGCTGAGTGTTAGCATTGTGGGGTTTTTTTTGAGAAAAAAAATGTAAAAGATCAGTTAGCTGAGGCCCCGGCTCCACGAGGACAAATACGGCAAAACGCATCGGAGTAACGCAAATGCAACCGCAAAAAACCTTCCGTCCCCACGCAATATACACCGGATTGTGTCAAGCTACACGAGACGGCTCCGTTTACATCCAAACGCTGGAAAAGCTGCAGTACATATGCCGAACCTGTACGTGGCCCTGTAACTTCCTCCACAAAAGCAGCAACTTCCTCCACAAAAGCAGCGAAGAAGAATGGTTGTCATGGCTGCACTTCTGTGTATTCTCCGCGGTGGGGGCCGACAGAACCGGGCAGAGTTTTTCGCCGGTCAGCGTGTGTTAAAGTTTAAATCTTCCGGACAAAATTATAAAAGTGCCGGTCAAAGGTCTTCATTGTTATTTATTGAGCTTTAAAACAAATGAATAACGACGATATAATGATATATAATCATCAAATACACGGAGCCTGTCTCTTTTTCCTCTCTTCTGACAGCGTCAGTGTCTGTCTCATGCAGCAGCTGATCCTGTAATGAGTGACCCGACAGTAAAAATGAACATATTTATAACTAGTTTAGGTAGTTTGAGAGGTAATTAAAATAGCTAAGGGTGATGATCTGACTTGAAGTGTGTGTTTTGCTCCCACTGCATCACAGCGGCAGGAGCTGCGTGTCTCCGTCCTGTCAGATTAGACTTCACTCGCGTTTATGTCCATATCGAGATAAAGATAAATAATCTGAATTCAAGGAGGAGCTCCTGTAGATGTTGCACAAAGAACTGTAGCATGGTCAGTAGCGACTGGAGCATGATAGCAACCCTGCGGGGGAGAGGCGAGGAGAGGCGGGGCTATGAAAACGAATGACCGTATAGGCGACTCCACGGCCCCGTTGGACCCCCCAGAGCGCTCCGTTCCCAGATCTATCCACCTTTGGACCCGTTGTCGTTTGCGGGGTCTGTTTCTACGTTTCCCTTACGGCGTCGTCGAGCTTAGAGGGCTATACGCATGAGAAATATGCGGATTCAACCCGTTTTCGTCCTCGTGGAGCCGGGGCCTGAGTTTCTTCCCGTTACATGGATATAAAACATTCATAGTTTATTAAATATTAAGATTCCTTAGACGTTGTTTCCTGCAAATGACGCGTTTATCCGCCCGGTACCGGGGGGGCGGTGCGTAACAGGTTAATGGCATTTAGACAGTTGTGTAACACAGATAATCTATCAGGGTTATCAGGTTTAAAAGAGACATAGAGTTGAATAATAATGAGAAGCAGTTCACTCCAGTACCCCAGTGTGTGCCTGCAGATGAGAGCTGTGGTTCCCAGTAAAACTAGTTAAAGTGAGGAGTGATGTTCCTGTCTTTATAGCAATGTTTCTAGTCAGTAAATCTGAGAAAATAATCTCAACTCACTTTCTAGGAGCCTTTACCTA